GGTTAAATTTTCGTCCCTGAAGATGGCTCCTGCTCCTGCTCCTGATCAGAGAAAAAATCTCACATAATGGTTGCACTTTCGACTCCAGACTAAGTGGTTTGGGTTCGATCACCGACTGGGTCCCCATCCCCTAGCTACCCGTCTCGGGAAGCTCAACTGATGCAAATTTTTATGGCTGAGACAAAATGGATAACAGGTAATTTGACTATGGTTTTTTTTCTGGCATGGAGTTTTATTTCACATGATTCAGAAAAATTGGTTTGATCTGATGAAGAACCACCTCTCAAGACGTTCATGATTCGTATATTTTACGAACTGGCGATACTGTAACACTTTGAAGGAATATTTCAGCACCTTTTTTTTAACGATCTGAATAAAATAATGTCAGTTTTTTATAAACTAAGGAGACAGACTGACTGTCAGGATGCTTAATGGAAGGTAAAGTGTTTTAGTTATTAATTCAATATTAATTAACCCGTTTTATTGCTTTATATTCAGTTTCCAAAACGAATTTACATCAGGGAGATGTCAAACGGAGCAATAGTCGATGAAATCGTTGATGTTCAAAACGAGAGGGACTGGGAAGTACTGAACTACATGACACCGCTACGTCACATAACTTCAAAACCGCACGAACGTTCGGACAACCTTCGCTTCCGAGATCTGCGAGACTTTGACGTTTATTATTATCCGCATCCATGGAGATAGCTAGCTGACGATCTATGAAAACTATTCATGATTATGCCTATATATAATATTTAGCTCGCAAAAATAGAGCTAAAAAGGAACTTGAAAAGGAAAGCTGTTGAAACAATAAGGGACAATAGAGCAGAAGTTACAAGGGTCAAAGTTGGAGTATTAAGCCACTGGAAATACTTACGGCTAATATAGTGTATATTGCTTTGCAGCGGTAAGTGTGGGTTTTTCAGCGCTTGCGGCTGAATTTACATATCATTGTTTGAATCGTCAGTCTGAGCTAATCGTGGAAAACTGAATGCATAACAAGGACAATTTGGGCAATTTTCGCTCTACTCAACTCCACACATCCTTCTGAGACCGGCTTTCCAATGAGACCGAAAAGTCTCATCACGCTCGCCACGAGACAGGCTATATATATCTAGTCAAGCTTACTTATATTGTAACTTACTCCAACTTCTTTAGATCCAATTGAACGCCCTGGATATCTTTCTCCCGTTGTTAAGCTGTTGCCATAAACAAAAGATAGTCGAAGTATTATCGCTAAACTTGAAGTTAGTACTTACCCCAATACGAGCGCAATCGAGCTGCCATTCCAAACCCACGGCAATTTCCTCAGTGTGGATATATTAGTGTCCCTGATGTGGTGAAAATATAAAACAAAATGAAATAAAATACAGGTTGTCTCTAACAGGTAAAAACTGATTTCATACTTGTGTGAAAGCACCAATTGAGCAAACCCCCTTCGGAAAAGGGTTGACCGAAATGTGGGCTTAGTACCTTAAGTAAACGGTGTGTAATTTTCACCATGAAAGGTAATAAACTGGGCACTATTTTTGACGATTTCGATGAAAATAGCTCAGGCCATGGAACTGCAAAGAAGTCTGCAAAACTGACGTTCACTTAATACAGACAGTAGTTTAATAAAATTCAGTTGAATTAGATAGGGAACAAGAAACTTACCACGTCTAAACGTGATCACAAAGCTCTCCTGACTGAATTACAGATCTTACCTATAATCGATGAAGTTCTTTCCGTGAGCTCAGCGCGGAGGTTATGTCGGCTTGAACTTGGTCTTTGGTGTACTGAGTTAAGTTATTCCACGCGAATAGACACTTGATATTGACGGATTCCACACGAGTGGATTAACCCCTTTGACGAACCGCAGCAAAAACGGAGTATTATCATAGCCCTGATAAAGAGCAGTATACCGAAGATTAGAACTAGAGTAAGACGTGATGTAAAGAGGTGGGGCCGGTATTTCCTCATGAATATCAAGAGCTGTAATAGGCTAAGAACAGTGTATGGAGTGAAGAATAATTTTTCTAAGTAGAAACTCATATAATATACTTTTGACTGGCAAAGGCATCTCTGCAAAGAGGGTAAAGATACAAAGATTGCACTGGCTGTGTTTCTTCGCTTTTTAAACTGACATTTATAGCAAGGGGGAAAGCAAACAAGTCAAATACCATAAAATCCAGAAATTTTAAAGTTCTGAGCTAATTAACCGAGAAGAGCTTTAGATCATCGGAAGTGCTTGTATGGGCTTGTATTCCTAAGGAATTGTTGCGTCTGCAAAAGTTTGCGGAACACAAAGAATATTCGTCGTGTACGGATCAGTGGGAAATTGACAAGGCAAGCTCCACAGCCCGGCGTTTGAATTTATTTCTAAATAAACATCAAAAGTCTGTGTCCACACTCGCAACGATATAAAATGCTAAACAAGTCTACGGAAAAGGGCTAAACGACAATAAAAAGAAATTGTACTAAAAGTAAAATCTAATATAGTCCAAGAGACTATGGGGGGTTGGGCTTATCGTACGGCTTCTTTTGCGTCTACGATTTTAGCTGGATTATTCCGTCTTGCGGTCTTTAATTGACTTCACATAGTAAATCCCTTTTTTACGGCATTTTCTTTTTCTGGCATGCAATTTTGACCACTTGACTAATGTATACTATAATTATACTATAATTTACACGCAGTCTACACGCAATACGTTTTCCATTTAAAAAGTGTTTTCTATTTGCAAGTTTTACTACACATTGTAATTTTGAATTGCCTTGATATCTGTTGCACCAGCTAGCGCGCGCTGGTCAACCAATCATCCAAAAACCTTTATGAAGGGGGGCTGGCAACGAGCAACAATGGACAGTATCTGCTTTCGAGCCGAAAACAGTGGTCAGCGTAAAGTTTATTGCTCGCTTTGGTCTTTGTGTAAAGCGTGCACCACGTGGAAAATAGCAAAGATTGGTTGTTCTAAGGTGAGAGTTTTACATGGACCGAGTTGTGGTTGGTTAATTTATGGTACAAATTTGTCCTTAATTGTTTTTTGTATCAAATTTAGGTAGTGACTTAGTGCAATAGAATACGTTACCTACGATGATTTAGGTTTAGAACTCACAGTTGAACTGTTCAGTGATCATAAACGACCATAAGCTGTAAGCTAATTCAGTGTGTAAATATTTCTACATGTTTCTTAGCTCAGTAAGCTCATTTGCCGACGGATGATGCTGTTACAGATCATTATTGTTCAATCTGAAATTATCCCTCTTTAATTTGAAACTCGAAAATTCTGTTGGCGTGTAATCCGCTGTAATGCGCCTGTAATGATCATAAAACTAAGAGAAAACTTGCACCATGCCAGACATGCACATTTTATTAAACTCTGACCCAACTCAATAATAGCTTACAGTTGGTTTGCATTGCCGAGAGATTCAATTGACAAAGAGTCTGGCAGCCATGTTGAATGACAGGAACAAAAAAGGCTTATTAGAATTCTGTTGTAACTGGCCATCCAACATGGCAGTGATGATGTCGATTGCAAATGATCTGTTCAGCACTGGTCAGTGTTCTCATAGGCTGCCATCCTTTTCTGTCAGAATCATGACCTTGAGGTAGAGAGCTGCCTTATCCTCTTTCATCCCTTGTGAGAAAATTGATGTAACACACGATTCTTACCATTTCCATGCAAACTCATCACTTGAGAAAAATCTGGGATGGGATGGACTTGAAAGTTGGGTTGAGAGAACTCGAAAAGTTTCAACATGAGCATGTCAACAATAACATTTGTTTTTGTTTCTAGAAAATTATAGAAATGAGACAAAGAAGAGCAGAAAAAAGTAATGGGAAACATATCCAGGTAAAAATGACCAAAATAATACGTTCAAGTATTTGTTTTACTGACTATTTAAAAATATAATCTTACTAATGAGAATGGCTCTTACTTTTCTTTTAAATACAGCCAACCACTCCAGTTGAAAAAGAAGTTTCTGATAAACAGACGCAGACAAGCAGCAGTTGGTGGGGTTTGCTGAAGTATTCCTTGGTGCTTTTAATTCCTGGTTTTCTCAATCATGCTGCATTGTTCAGGGAGGGAGAGGTGCTAAGACCACCTGGTCAGTATTGTGTGGTGCCAGAAAATATCCATACCTATCGCAAGGAGGGCTATTTGAAATTTCAAGGGAGAGGAGAGTCTTAAGGAGCTCAGTGACAGCATTTTGAGCTATTTTTGGCCATGTACAAAATTACCTTTAAGTTGAAGGAAACCTAAAAATAATAGTTGATTGAAAAAGAAATACACCACAGAAATGCCATTAAACCCTAAAGGAACAAGGGTGGCTAAGGATGGAGAAGATTGACATGGATTATAAACGACGAACTTGAAAAAATTTAGGCCAAACTTTTCAACTTAGCATGTGCAAACCTTGATGTAGTTCCCCTATGGGACAAAATCTTGAAAGGAAAGTATGATCCAAAACCAGAATTTCTAAAGGGGTTGGGTGGAGGGGAGGGGGAGAAGAGGGTTTCAAACCAAAAAACCCTCTGTGGGTGGGATGGATATTTTCTGGCACATTACACATTGAAATCTTTAAGCTTTGACATCATTACCTCAGATTGGTAAAAATTCTGGGAAAAAGAAATTCTTCAATGTCAGAGAGCAGGCAATGGATTCAGAATCTAGAAGTTTCTTTGTAAAGTCAGCAAGTGTTTTATTTTTATTAGACAAATACATGGTTCTGTGAAACTTGGCTTAGTCAAGTGATTAAAGTTGATTCTTTCTTTCCAGGGGAATTGTATGATATTGGTTGGAAACAGAAGTTGTTCATGGGTTGCTCAGGGCGTGGTCCACCCACAATAATTCTAGATGCACCAACAGGCAAATCATCTGATGCTTGGGCACTGATTGCACCTCAGATTTCCAAGGTGGCCAGAGTATGTGTTTATGATAGAGCAGGACTAGGCTTCAGTGACAGGCCTTTTGTGAATTGGTCAGACCCAGAACAGTCAAAACGAGGCAAGTTATCAACGAGCGAGAGAATGGTTGAGGATTTTCACCGACTCTTCACTTTAAGCTCTGATCAGCCAAAACCTTTCATACTTGTTGGAGCTGAGCTGGGGGCAGTAAATGCAAGATTTTACACTCAGATGTTTGAAAGCAATGTTTCAAGTCTTGTGTTGATTAATCCCCTTGTGGAAGGAATGTTTGGTGATGAATGGACAAAGCTATGGTATGAGCGTTATGTGTCTACTCAACAAGCATTGCAGTTTTCTGCTGCCATTGGCATCACAAGGATAGCTCTAATGCTTGGTTTCATGAAGGTGCCAATGCAACACAAGTTGTTGCCATTTAATGTCACAACAAGACAGAAATATCTTTTATGTAAACCTGGTCACCTCAGTGCAGGAGTTGATGAATTTTTCTTTGCAAATGAAAGCTTAGCTCAAATGAGAATGGTACGGAAACTGAAACCATTTCCTCAGTCAGCTGACGTGTCAATCATTAGCAATTCTTTTTATGATGATGAGCTGGACAGACAGTTCGACCAGGTAAGAATATTAGAACTTCATTGGTGTCATATCATTACAGTGCAAATAGTTCTAGCATTCCTCTCACTAGAGTAAGAAATGAAGTTCGTAGCTGTTTTCATTTTCAATACTTCTCCCCTTCAGATGAAGAGTTCAAAATTCAGACTTGATACCTGACTTCACATGCTAGGCACAAACAGGTTTCCCAACAGTTTTTAAAAACTAATATTATGATTAGACGCTATCTGGTGTTGAAATCTCAGTAGTCACCTAGATGACATTTCACTGCTTTGTTTTGCTTCAGGAACCTTACATGTGCAACTGCAGGTATCATTAAGTCATTTTTCAATTCCAGCACTTAGCAAAGTCCCATTTTGACTGTATTTTTTTTGTCTTTAAAGTTTGATTTTTGGACCCTTGGTTATCACATGGTGCTAGTCAAACATGCTTATAAGAGTTGTCACCTGATGTAATAGATGGTTTTAAGAAAGAAAGGTTATAATCAACTGCATCTATGCCAACTCTCCCGGATTATCTGGAGATTGCAAGATTAGTTAACCATTAGATTGAAAGCAGGGATTAGTTAGGAATCCAAGTATACTTCATTCGGGTTTGTCCTCTGATTGCCATACTGGCCGCCGCATCGTCAAGTTGGCTCACTGGGCCCATATTGCTGTACTTTTCAATTTGTTTTTTAATGATAATTTCTCTTCCTTCATGCCATCAGGTGTGGTCCACAGCTCAGGAACAGATTTCAAGTGTATTGCATCCAGGGAGTGAACGAATAAATCTGTCAGGAACTGCTCAGTCAGCACTTTTACAATATTCAGAAACTATTGTGAATGTTATTAAAAGACATGTTGATAAATGGAAGCAAAAACAGGTCAAATCTAAAAGCCATTGAATGAACTAAACTTCACAATATTTAGGAGTTTTTTAAAATATTTCATTGGTGTTAAAGTGGCAGATCAAGTATGACTGAATAATAAAATCAAATTTTGTGTCATGCCAACTCATCACCTTTGCAGGCTTAGCCTGTTCCAGGCATTCAGATAATGGTGAGTGGTATGTGAAGAATAGTGACAGGAAAAAGAAATGAAGTGATGCTTTTTGTTCTATATGCTATTTTTTGGGCTTCTCCCTGTTATCTGAATGCCTAGAACATGCTTGAAGGGAGGTGTGGAAAAAACCATAAGTGTTTGCATTTCGCACGTAGTAACGGGAGCGAATAAGAGGCGGCTGTATTCACTGGCTTCTTTTGATCTCATGCCAGATTTTCCTTTTTTTGCAAAAGGATTAGAGACTGCCTTGTACTGGACCTCTATATATTGTATGGAGTTGAGTGTTTTGACAAGTTTGTCAAAGGAGTTGTGTCACTTTATTTTTAAAGTCATTTTTCTCAAGTACAAAGTTCGTTTCAAAAATGAATTAACAACAGCTTTCTAAGGTAGAAAAAAATACCAAAGGAGAAATAAATGTTGAAGGAAAAATATACAAGGATATGGTTATGACTGAAGAAAAGATAAAGTTGAATAATGAATGATGAACTTGGAACACTTGGCCAATTTTTTCAAGATGTGCTGGCTGCAGCAAAGATAGTCAACATATAGACCCTTTGCAAAAATTGCTGAGTATATTTCATTCTTTCAAAATGAAATAAGGTGAAAGTTGCAAAATGTTATGTGCCCCTTGGCATGAAAAGTAGAAGTTCAAATTTGGTAAGCCACAAATTTTTCATCAGATTGAACTAGAGAGGTCACTATATGACTCTTACACTACGCAGCAGAGGTGAGACGAATTACCGCTGACTGAGTAATCCTAGACCAGGAAGTAGAGGAAGCGAAAGAGTTCAGTATCCTATTATTTCTTGCCTGGGTAACAGTGACACATGTAGTTGGAGGCACGAAAGGTAGTGGTTTGCACTTTTCAAGCCTGTAGTGTAAGGCGGAAACTATTGGAAAGACCAGCGGGACGCGAAGATCGGAAGGGAAAGTCACAGCTTTTTGTTGCTCGAATCTCTCGAGTAGCCATGGAACAAACCAAGTCAATAGCAGTACCTACACAAAGCGCTGTCTGGATAAATGGAGCTCTGGAGGCAGTTATGAAATATATACTGAATTCAACAGAGACACAACATAATCACAGGTTGTACCTTAATTCTTTGAAGCGTTACAAGACTTTTCAGGAAGAATTGGAAAGTAAAAGCGGTAGAGGTGTGCAACTTTTGATGTCTGGTAGTGTTGCAGAAAATTTATTTGCCATCCATTGGGTCTATAAGGATGGTAGAAGGGAGGCAAACAACGATATTGATGTTATGCTTGTTGATTGCTCAATAACAGTTCTAGAAAGCGGTCAATTGGAAAGGTTAGACATTTCAGAAGTCATGGAGCTGGGAAGAAACCTTGACATGAGAGAACATACTCCAATGAGGTCACAGCCTTTCAAAGTCAAAGCAGACTGCAGTTTGCATAAAGGTCAATCCACTGAATCGAAATCTTTAGGTAACCTTTTACCTGCAGCAGAATATAAGGGAGAAGGAGAAGAAATGACCATCAAGGGTAAATCTAAGCAGGGAAAGAAAGAGGTCTTTCTAGTGCCAACTGACCATCCTGGGTATGTCTGGCTGAGTGAGCTTGATGAAGAAGGAAACACAACATTTATGACAACAGTGAGCTTCAAAGGGTTTTGGTCTGAGGTTGTTAATAAGACTGCTCTTTACTCCTTGGTGAGTGGTCCCCAGCTTCCTCCCGGAGGTGTTGCTGTAAGCGGACCAGCGTTGAGCAGATGTGATCGACCTGGAAGTAGGAATAACTATGCTCATGATTACGTTCCATGCTTGCATTGTGCTAAATGGACAAGTTTGGCAGAGGGATGGGCTGTAAGAAAACGCCCTGTTGATTGGCCGAAACGAGGGTTAATTTCAGAGATTATGAGTGAGGGCTGCCATATTGTTCCTGTTTCTCATCATCAAAATGGTGACAGTCTACTTCAAACTGAGTGGCGGCTCTCCTTCTCTAATGCAGAGAAGAAGCTTGTAGATTCACTGACAATTGAGCAACGTCAAAGCTACATCATGGCAAAGTTGGTCATGAAACAAGTTATTCAAGAAATAAAGGACAATCACCAAGAACCATCTGTGGAGAAAACTCCATCTTCCTATCACTTGAAGACAATCTTTTTGTGGAAGTGTGAAGAAAAGCCTTTGGAGGACTGGAACAACCTCCTTGAATCTGTGGTTGATTTGCTGAGTGCTCTGGTTGATCATTTACGGAAGGGAAGCATTCCACAGTACTTCATCCCAGAGAACAACTTGATTCGCAACATTCGGGAAAATGTTCTCGTTTCTGTGGCGGATGGAATCACAGCAGCCTTAGCTGACCTTCCCATGATATTGCATTGTGTTTTCCTCACAGCCTACAATACTCAGCTAGACTATGATGAGGGCATTAGCCCAATCTTAAGACTCGTGGATTGCCAGTTGAAGATCTTTCGTGAGACTGGTATGGCTGGAGATAAGTTATATCTGTACTTTATCATAAACTCTCTTATTGATTCTTTGTCTGCTGCAACTGTTGGAACTTCAGATGAATCACAGCCTCTAGAAGACCACAGATACATCTTGAATATTTATCATTTGTGTCACAGTAAAGCAGGAAGTGTTTTAGCACTACCAGTGCTACCAGTTTTGGGTGCAGCAGAGGTACACACAATTATGATTCTTCTGTTTAAGTACTTGTTGAGTTTGTTACAAGATGCACACATCCTTGTTGTTTTACAAACTGATGTGTTTGCCTTTATGACAAGAATTTTTACAAAAAATCTTGTTTCATTGTCTGTCAAAGAACAAGTGTTTACAGAGTGTTGTGAGGCAAGCCTTTGCATGTATCAGTCTGTTTGTGAACACCTTGGCATTGCCCAAGATTCTAATCTTTCATCCCGTGAAGAATTAGGCACACTCAGTGGCATCGACTTTATTTTCTATAAGAGTGCTGAGATGGCTGGAAGGGATTGCTTTAAGTTTGCTGCCAACCGATTCAAGAACTTTCAACAAAGTGGCAGATTGAACACAGTGAAGAGCTTGAGCTGGTAGAGACCAGGAGGGGGAAGGGTACTCAACAAAGTATTTTACGGGGAGGTCCAACCCCTTACCCTTTTATATAACATATTGACAGAAAAAGTATCCCTTTTGTATACCTTTTATTGAAAAAAAAAGTACCCTTTTCACATACCTACTTAAGAACACTGAAACTGCTGCTTTAAATGAAAAGGCCCTTTTAAATACCTAAATGACAGATTTCCCTACCCTTTCATATACCTCAGATTGTAAAATCCCTACCCTTTTAAATGCCTGAAGCCTGGAAAAGGTACCCCTTTTTGGCAGAATCTCCCAGTATAGGCCACATTTATAGGTAGTATCCCCCCTGGGGGGAGGGGTAGATAAGTCTTTGATTCATTGCAGGTTGAGTGTGGGAGTCTACATATACACTGGACCACACATGTTGGGTGTTTAATGAAACCAACAGTTTTTAATAATATTATTAATAATTACAAAGAGGGTTACTGTCTTTATTTCTGAACTGCATGGGAACATGGAATCTCAGAGATGTCTTTCCAAAATCAGTGATGAACATTTCTTAATGAGATATAGCACACAAATGATCTAAAGCTCTCTGCTTTTTTGTTCTCACAACTGAAGTTTGAGTTGAACAAGTCTTGAGAGACTTAAAAAGTGGTCACGTCAATCTTGTTTGAGCAAGAGGTTCACAGAATATTCAAATGTATTTATATAACTGACAAAATCAGTTCATCTCATATGCATTTGTCAGTATTTTCTTGGTCATAATTATACAAACGCGTTTTCAAATATATATATTGAATATTGATAAAAATGCGCTCACTCAGTCCAGTGAAATGAAGTCACCAATTAACAAGGCATTTAATGTAAATAAACTTGTTGAAAACTACTTACTGGTCCCATAAATGCACCAGTATTTTCTTTATGGTTAAACACTTTTCACTTTTCAAAATTCCCTGAATATATTTCCCTCGCTTTTCTCTGATAACAATGAAATATCCTGGACTAAATTAGGACGAAAAGTCAGAGACATTATAGTAACCTCAAACCTCCACTTACAGCCTTCCTTTCCATCAATTAATATTTTGACCTATGGAGTTTTAATAGTTTCTGCCTTCTTTGTTAAGGAAGTTAACTTTACACCATCATCATTGAGATCATACAGTGACCTGAAACGTTTCCTCTGGTCTTCATGCAATGGTATTTTACAATAAAAAATATATGTCAACTTTCTCCAAAAATGTCATTTTTCCCAGACTCGTGAATTAATAAAATTCCCAGACTTTTCTCTGACCTTGAAGAATTTTGTTTCCTGACCATTTCCAGACCTGTGGCAACCATCTTTAATAGCACAGAAGTAGGGTAAAAGGGCTTCCCAGGGGTTTTGGGGAACAAGGGAACATGATAATTTCCTGAGGGGGGGGGGGGNGAAATTTTGAAAAGAACCCCCAAGAGTTACATGTACCAAGATCTTGTTCCTTGGGCATGGCTTGAAATGTTTTTCACTTCAAGTCGAGGTACCAATTCTAAAGCAACACATTACTTACTGTCATATTTTTTGGTTCAATACCCTAAAAGGTATTGCACAAGCTCCCGCAGTGAATCTTTTGAGGCTGAACAACCTCAGAGGTACCAAAACCACTCTTTTAACCCGTAAAAGGTACGAGGATACTTTTAATCATTACTTGTATTTTTAAATTTATATCTTGTACTTTTTAAATTTTATCTTGTATTTTTAAATTATCACAATGTCTTGTATCTTTAATTATTATATTTTTAGTCCAGGGCCCCTCTGCATATCAGCCTCGTCGCTGAATGGGCCACCATGGCTAAATAAAGTTTACCTTTACCTTTACCTTTACCTAAAATTTACGAGGAACAGCCCTGCCCTTTTCATATGGGAGTCCCAGAACAAGGATTATCTCTAAAGGGAACTTTGACGAAAGGTTTTAGAACAATGGAATTCATTGATTGGGAACAAGGGAGAAAAGGTGAAATCTTTAGGGATCAGGGGAACACGCTATCGCCGCCCCCCACAGAGTCCCCAAAGGGGCGCCCATTTGAGCTTCGAAAATTTTCCCGCCGAAATAACATTGAAATTTGTCAGCGGCGTTGCAAGATAATGTGACGTCATTCGTAGCAACGCGAACGCCATCTTGAAAAATGTAAATTTTGCAACAATGTAATTTGTAAACTGTGCCGAAAAAGAGGCGGATTTTGGTAGCCGAGGTACAAAGGTTTGACAAGGAATTGATTAGGTAGCTACCTGTTAATTACAGGTTGGGTTTGTTCAGCTGCCATGAACTTAACGCGAGCAAAGTACGTAAGTTGACATAAGCTGATGTTTGCTTGAATCTCCACTCAAATCAAAATGTCTTCAAAATCAAGAGCAAGTAAGGGGAAAGCGTCTGTGTATTTTAAAAGAGGGATGAGCGAAGAAATTAGCTATGAAGACGTATTGCTTGCTCAGTACATGGATGAAATCCAGAAGGTTCCTCCAGTCCGGAAAGAAAGGTAGGGCAAGATCAGGTGATTAAGTAAACAAAAAACGTTTGTGAAATTTTTTTTTTCTCGTATAGATTGGTGAACTTAAGCTTTATAAATTGTTTTACAAAGCGATACCTGGTCCTCGGCACTGAATGAAATGGAGTCTAGCACATGTACGGATGGGTTTTCAAGAGTTTAACAGAAAAAATGATAAAAATTGTGCACACCTATTGAACTATAGGAACTGGAGATTTTTCCACAATGAACAAAAGAAACAATGGGTCTGGGTTGAAACCTGGAGATTTTACTGCAAGCACATATGGACATACCTACTGTCACAAATCGAAAAAGTATCTGCTCCTAAAAACTGTACTAAACTGATGTGAGTATATGCACCTTGGGAACATTGCCTGCACCCCCCTCCCCCTGCAGAGTATGGCAGAACTGACCAGAACTGCATCATAGAATTAAATTGAATGAAAAGTAATATTGCTCTGGCTCAATTTGACTAGGACTATTCGTAATTTGACTAAGACTATTCTCATTGTCTGTATTCTTGACTTTTTGCTGACGAAAGATTGTGTAGCAAGTTCTCTCTGCCACAAATTATTGATCAATTACAGTTAAGAGGTGTGTTGTATTTTTAAGGGAAGCATGGTTATCTCCCTACGCTGTTTCAACACACACAAACAGCAATGCTCAGATGAAGAGACCCAAGTCTGCCATTTTATCCCAGAAAGGAAGGTCTAAGAGAAACACTGATCCCCCGAACTGGGAAAGCATGCCTCGAACTGTGATTGGCTGGGCTGACAAGACAGACTGGGCTGTGGCTGAGCAACTTCCAAAGCAGCGTACACGTCCAGTGTCAGCTCCTGCAGCCAGAAACAGGTGGGTAGGACAAATCATGCAATTTTGTAAGCTTAGAAGGTTACAGCTCCTAGATTTGTTACTTTGTTTCTTCTTTTGCACCTTTACACATTCTTTCATTTGTTACTTGTTCATTCGTTCGTGAATTTGTTCATTCCTTCACTCCTTCTTTCCTTTCTTCATATATCCATTAGTCCATTAGCCACTTCCTCTATCAATCCGTTCATTAGAGGAGAGTAGCATGTCTTGAAGAGAAGCTTTTCCTAAATACAGTGAAATAAGAATGATATGACAAGAGTACTGAAAGTTCCTTCTACTTTTGTCTTAATTCAGATCAGGCTCACTCAGTTCTGGAACTTCATCATTTTCCAGAAATACCTCAGGTACATGTAACTTGCATCTGATTTATTATTTGTTCAATCTGGTTTACAATCTTAGCTGACAACTGCGTACAAGGTTTATTCTTATAGCATTAAGTATCATTTATGATTCTTTTGCTATTCCTTAGTCTCTAGTTCTGCAAGTGGAAAGAAAACCAAACCACTGTTCAAGAAAAAGCCTTCACTTATCTGTGTCAGGGCTTTTCAGAATGGAAACCGAGATAACTATGCAAGAATCACAGTCCCAGATCTTCAGCAGGTGCTTTATCTTAAAATATAATGCGTTAATGTCAAATTATTTATTAACCTAGACTGAAAATTTGTATAGGTAATTGTATGAATGCAAGTGTAATAAGGATTTACACTACAAGTGATATTTGAAAATTTGAAAGAATTTCCAAATATCATGAGTAGCGTAAATCCATAATCACACTGGAGTAATTTCTTAGTGATGTAAAAATGTGAAATTTTGAAATTTTAATATACATTCATGCAAATAGAAATTGATTTGTTTTTACCCATGTCGTAATATCAGCTGTATGTTGTTTGTGTTGTAGCTTATTCAGGGGAAAAAACAATCACTCCCCAGAGTTTGATGTCATGTTGATCTGAAGTTTTTTTGAACTATAATATGTGCATTTAGTTATATACAATGAAACGAAAATGGCAGTTCATTTACGCTCTCGCCTCGTGATAACCTTGTCATACTGTACATCACTCACTACTAAATAACAAACATATACAGCAGCTTGAATGTAATAAATTATGGTTTACTTGGCTGTAAATGATTACCACTGACCATTCTCATAGCAGCAATCATTCTATTATATTTACTTCCAGCCAAAAGGTAGGCAAAAATTCTAATGATTCTAACAGCAGGGTGTTTTCCCTAAACAGCTTCTTGATGCATGTACTGACAAACTGGGACTTGTGTCTGCTGCAAGGAAGCTCTTTCTGTCTGATGGCACTCAAGTTATACACCCCAGACAGCTTCCGAGGGAAGTTGATGTTTATGTGTCTTGTGGGGAGGCTTTCAGAGATCCTTTTGCAGCTATACGAGGTACTGATTACAAGCATAGGGTAGATTAGTGGTTAAGAAACACTTTGTTTATCTTACGTAGGCCAATATCATCATGGAAGGTACTGAAGGTAATATCCTGAAGGGGATGTTGCAACAAAGAGGACCTTATATTAGAGCCAAATGTAGCGGTAACTTTATTTACTTTTTCAAACCCCTGAAAAACCATGGCCATTTTGTAAAAGATATGCTGAATTTTGCACCTCCTGTTATATTAGATGTTAAAGATAAACACAGACAAACTGTCAGATGTGCTACATGTAGCTTGGTTTTGAGTGCAGTGTGAGAGATATTAATGCCCACCATTCAGAGCATTAAGCACAACTTCAGGATGTTCATTTTTCAAATCCTGGTTATATTATTACATAATCAGCGATGTTGCATCTTGCATTTTCCTGTTAACAACAGATAGAGAAGAGCTGCGCAGATCTGCCTCTTGGACTCTCAGTGGTATTGTTCTTCCTGAGGACCGCTCCAGAGGTCGCACAAAGCCATCACTCTCCAAGAGGATGCAGTCATTAGTTGACAGTCAGAAGAGAAGAATACTGGTGTTCAGGAATGGGGAGAGCTCTGAAGGAGTGGAGATAGTGGCTGGGAGATTTGATGAGGTATAGCAAAACGTGTGGTGATTTCTGTGCCAGTAGCCTGCTAGATTGTAGTTTTGCTCAATGCTAAGATTACAGAAAGTAAAAACTGTATACTGGAGCTTGCAGTAGAGCATTTCTTCCCTTTATTTCTTCCTCTTTTGGATGGGATCCTGCTCAGGCTTTAGTCAGAATTCAAAAAGTGGCTGTCCAAAATGGGCAATTTATAAGGCAACATATGAAAAATAAAACAATTTTCTTTAGAAAGTGACCATCCACAGGACGACTGGACACCCATCTGGTGGAAAGCCTGATCCTGGTGGATCGCAAGTGACTTCTCCCCAACATTCAATTTGCCAAAATGATACCCATTTTCCACCTGGGTGGAGAGAGGTACTGTCAATGAGAGAAGTATGTTTCCAACACGATGACCTCTGCCAGGTCTTGAACTGAGGATGCTGATCCAGAGTCCAGAGCACTAATCATTAGGTGACCACATCTTCCATGTGGATTTCAGAAAAGAGGTTTACATTATGCTACACATTTCACACTGCCCACAGTTCAGACTTGCTACCTGAGTAGGTAAAGATAAAAGGTAAATTCTGCCTATGAGCCAAGTGACCCATCAGGCCGGAGCTTATCCCGGTTTCTGTAGCATGAAGCAACTAGGAGTATTTCTACTCCCCCCTGGATGGGATGCTTGTCCATCACAGGGTTACCCCCAGCATTAACTTCGCCTGTACCCATTTATTCGCCAGGGTGGAGAGTGGCACTGTGAGAGTAAAGTGTCTTGCCCAAGAACACAACACAATGTCCCTGGTCAGGGTTTGAATCCGGACTGGAGACGAGTGCACTAATCACAAGGCCACTGTGTTACTTATTCCTAGTCTGAGTAATAAGGGTGAAGGGGAGAAAGAGTAATTTGTGGTACTTAATAAATCATACTTTTCTTTGCTAGTTCCTGGATGATTGCACTAAGAAGTTGAATCTTGAGTCTGGGGCCAGATTATTGTTTGATTGGCAAGGAAAGGAAATCAAGAGCTTCTCAGAAGGTTGGTTGTGTTACTTGCAGCCTGACATCTGAAGATCTCCTGTCTACTGGTTATTGTGCTCAGTTTGCACACTGAGCATCTCATAGATGGATTTTATGTCTCATACCCAGTACTATCTTATTAACTGCCTTTTTCCTGTAGTTCCAGTATTGGACAGAATTCTCCAGCCATCAACCAGCGTCATTTTAGGACCTGTTTGGGTGACGAGAGGAGGAGAGAGGTTCAGTCCTAAAGGAGCTTATCACTTCATTACTACTCTGTTGTTGAGTACTAAGGACAGACTGAAGCAAAGTAAAACTTACAAGCAACAGGTACAGTCACACCCTGCTTCACCAACACCTTGTTTTACTAACAATATTTTATGTCTATAGTTAACAAATTCTTTGTCAATGGGGAAATCAACCTGTGTAATACTTATAAACACCTCATTATACAGACCTCAGCTGTCATTAGAGTTTCAACAACTTGGTGTTCCTTGAATATACACTTCCTGTGACTGAGACATGCATAATTTTTGCTCATTTATAAAAGGCTTCAAATAAAAGTTTCCAAGCAGTGTTTTACTTTTAAGGGTAATGTGACCATTTCAATTTGCATTTTTCCCTTACAGCTTGAACAAAGTCTTAAAGGTGAAGAAGTTGTCTCCAAAGAGATAATGGCAATGAGTGAAGAAGAAATTGAAAATGAAATAAAAGAGGTGAGTCTGCTCTGTTTTTTAATGTCAACTTTGCAAAAGTGAAAACAGTGGCAGGGACAACATGACATCAAGTTACTCAGTAAAATTAGCTTAATAAGTATTCTTATTACTATCCTATTTGTGGCTTGAATTCAAGGTTGACCAACACATCAGTGACCTGTCAAGTGTGATACCAACTCTGAAGTCCCATCTGAGCATGGTGGAGACTGCCACAAATGACGAGGAGTCAGCAGGTTTAGAGAATTACAGATATCAGCACATGGCACATATTGCCCCAGAGAGCAGACTGCTGGCAAAGCAGGGACTCAAGCTAAAGGTAATGTTATGTTACAGTAATGAACATACAGCTGCAGTAGTATGCACTGGCTTTGCGATGTAAACCCATCACGGCTCACCAGTAGATATGCTGAAGGACAGGTGCTCGCCTTAAGGGTTGATAGAGCTTGGCAACATTCAGGCATGGTGTGCATGAAGGTTTATCCATCTGATGGCAACCCTTATCCAACTGACGTACTAACCACATATTCTGGAAGGGGTGGGACAAAGATCAACTGCAGACCAGCATTATTTTTGTAGGGTCAACTTTGTCGAAACTATATTTTATAGCCACATTCAAGTTGAATTGGTAGCACCTCCTGATCATTGATTCCAACGTTTACCTTGATTAAGTGTTCCCTTTAAAGTGGTTAACAATAAATTATATTATTATGGTAACTGCACAGTTCTGCAGAGTAAATGCCTTGACCAATGCCTACCGGTACCTATAAACAGGCACTATGCGGTTGTGAGTTATACAAGTTACAGTTTTTTTAAAGTAAATTTCCTTGGACCATGTCTGAAATCCTCAATTCCTCGTTATCATGATACAGGTTTATGAAAATGGTTCCTCAGATGACAAAGTCATAGTTTACTTCAATTTACACGAAGCTGAGAAAGGAATCCAGGGCAATAAGTCACAGTTATTGCATCGCTTTCTTGATGCCTGCACCAGCTGTCAGAAGGTGACAGATAGTGGAGGCGGGCCTGCAGGAAGAAGGATTGCCAAGAGAGTCTTTACAAGAGATGGGGAGGAGATAACAGATGTGCATGACTTGGTGTATGATCAAGACATATGGCTGTCTTATGGAGAGGACTTTAAACCACCTATTGGTAATAATTTGACTCTGTTAAGAAGAAATATTTAGTTTCCTGTTACAGTACTTGTGCTATTTAGTATCAGTATGATTTTGTGAAATTGCGGTCACCCAAGTCTTGCCAACAGCCCTCTATGTCAACTCTCCCAGATTCTCCCAATTACATACCAAATCTATGGGTCACTGAATCTTTCAGATACTAAGGAAAGTGACCAAGGTACACTTTTTACCCTCAATTTGGCTGGTTTTAGGCATTTCAGGGAGAATTTTTCGGATATTTGGCGCATTTTGGGGGTTGAAATAGTGAATTCTAAGTATACTGTCTAACAATGTTTTTGAGTGCCGGGAAAAGGCACATTTAGGGGATCTCCTGGATTTAAATATTTTTTTCGTTGGCACCTCTAAAAGACTACTTAAATGGTGTCTGACAACTGAACAAATTTGATTTTTATTTTCATTTGGTATAAATTTACTAATGCTGTGTAATTCTGAAATACTGAGATGGTTCTTATGTGCATTATTAAAACCTGTCCATCATTGTTTTGTAGTTGTCGTCCTTGAACTGTGTTTAGACAAAGCTACATGCATGTCATTATGGGGCGAGAAGGAGATGGTTCAAAGAGAAAGTTTTGCTGACGAAGGAAGTGGCAAGGAGAAAGCTTCCCTTTGGAGAGCAGTGAATGGCTTTCCCTCAGGCAGCAAACGTCATCAGGTCACTTTGTTCAATCCAGGCAGTGAACTTTCTCAAGCACAAAATCTTCAGGTGTGCTCTAAATGAAAATAAATCAATGTTTTTTGCTCAATCTGAGAGTTTGATGATACCTCAAGGCTAGATCACTCCCTGGCAAAAATGGTTTCAAGATTCTTGCAGATCTTTTAGGAACTCATTGTCATTCCTTTAGGATCTTCATCTGTAACACTTTCAGAATCTTGTAAGATCCTACATGTAATCTTGCAGATCGTGCAAACAACTTCTTTTAAGATCTTGGTGAACCCTCATCAAATTCCTTGAGGGTCTTGAAGGATCCCTGTAAAAATTAAACTTCCAAGACCTTTCTCAGATCTTCAACATATCGGATTCCTTGAAAGATCACAGACTGTCTTTGAGGATCTTTGGCAGGCCTTTGAAGTTCTTCTAAGAAAGGGGTTTCACCAAGGTTCTTAATTTTGTTTAAGTTAAAGATACCTCACCACACAAGTGGTTTTTGGCTTCAACCAGCAATGCCACTTTTTGAAAACATGTCTGTCTTAAACTGGTGACAATACTTATTATTTTTGCTGGCTGTGGTTAAGGCTGACAGTTATTTATTTCCGCTTTATTTTCAAGGACTCGCATTGTACACTGTAATGTATTATGTTGCTGTCTTCTTTTGTATTGACATCAGGTTATACGTGTGGATGAGAAGGGCTGCTTCTTGCAGTACAAAGAGAACAAGAACTTGGTGCTCTATCCAGAACTTGCTGTTGCTGAAAAGAAGAAGAGGAAAAAGTTGTGGCCTCCAGATGCTCAAGAGTGGGTCATAACACAGGTATAGAATATTACTCATCTTGTAACATCCTTACCTGAACAATTGATGGCTGCTTCATCAGAAACAAATATATTTAAAAGTAATAAATTTTCTTTATAAAGAGGGAACCTCCAATACCCCACTGTGGTGAGACATGAGTTGGTGTTAGCAAGGGGGTGGTTTAAGTGGAAAAGATGGCAGGTACATGTATAGGCCTGGACATTTTTCATTATGATTACTGCTTTCTTGACCCATGAACACGGATCCATTTGAACTTTTTGAAGGACCTGCACTGAAATTGAAAATGATTACATTTCATTTTAAAGTTCAAATTTTTGCCGTGGTGTAATATTATATAGATTTTGAGATGCAAAAGTGATGTTTGTAATATGTATGCTTTTATTCAGAGTGGCCTAATTCATAGCAAAGCCATGCCACAGCTAGTGCTGTCCAGATCCGAACATGCTGTCACAGTAAAATATGCAGATGCACCAGTGGAGGGGTACCCTGTGGTGATAGCTAAAAGGTACATGGTCTTATTTTGTTGCTTATCCTGTGCCTTCAAACCTGATTGCAAGCCTCAAATTTTACGTTAGATAATTTACTTGACATCTTAAATGAGCTAGCTCACGGATGGCTTGTCTAGAATATTTTGACAATTTTTTTCTTGAGTCTATCTTCAAGTCTGTCTATTTAAGTCTGTCTGTTTATTTTAATTTGTCTTACTGCTTCTTTGGAGTCTTTCCACCTCAGAAAAATATGATTAGGCGGTTTGCTTCAATTTGAAAATAATTTACATCAGACAAATTATGCACAATTTTGTGTCATAGTTCCTTTAAAAATTTCTCATAAACGAGAACTGAAATCCGTGAAATTCTCATCCAAATTCTGTACTTGCCACTATCTTTGCGCTGTTTTTTAACATGGAACAGATGTCAGAAATTCTTATTTACCATTAAACACCTTGTTTGGTGCCTACAGGAATCCTAGTGATGCCAACCAGCAATGGGGATTCAGCCCAACAGGACAGATCTACTCACTCTCAAAACCAAGCCTTGTACTCACTTACGTTGGAGATCATGATGTTGAAGATATCACTGCAGATGAAAAATCTCCACAGACCATCTCACCAGAGAAACAGGAGTCACATGGTTTGGAAAATCTTAATTTTATGGATGAATTAGAACTTGATGGTCCGATGTCCATTACAGAGGGTATTAGTCAACAGCCCAGTCCATCTCTGTCAGACCAAACAGAGGAAAGTACTGAGACTGGTCTTGCAAAACTTAAAGATGAGTTCCTTGGTCAAAACTACTCACTTGTACTTCTGCCAAAAAAGCAAGGGGAAGGCACTCAGAGGTTAGTTTTGAATGATATGGCTCACTTGATTTATGCCGCTCTTTCAAGTCCAGGTTCATAGCTCAGGCTCTCTACTGGAACAATGGCAAGTGGAAACTTGTTAGTCTTGTTACAAGCAAACATGTTATTTGTTACATTAGTCCTGATTAGTTTAGATCATTATTATATATTATTTGTTCCGTTATAGGTGGGCTGTCAAACAGGAAGACTTGAAGAATATTGGCCAATGGAAAAACTCAACCATTCGTAATCCAGAGTGGAACAAGAGAGCTTTGTCCTGGCCAGTGAATGAAGATGGAACATGGAACATAGTAGGGAAACAGATAACTAACTCAACATGATCTAAGCTCACTAAATAACAGACGCAGCGCTTTTCATTCCATTTCATCATCTTAAATTATATAGTAACAGCCAACAGAAGGTCCAGTAAATTCATGTTTCTGTCAAATATAACCTCAGATTATGTATTTACAAGAAAGTCAAGGTTCAGTTAATTAACATTTGTAAGTTAGGATGTTTTGTGCTGAGCCTTAGCTGGTGCTGTTTAATTTAAGTACATGTTGTTGTGTCTGCCAGGACTTTACATGGCCTATGGAAGGATTTTTGCTGCCCTATGCCCCCCCAGTGAAGAGAGCTTCACAGAAGAAGGCTGTGACAACAGGTAACAACAAACTAGCCATTAGTAAAAGATACTCTGTTTAATGATAGCTCTGTTCCACAACGAGAGATTAATCTGTAGGTGATAATGAAGATAACAACTCATCATCAGTTGTGAATTGGTGTTCATGTAAGCTGCATTGTTCAAAGAACAGAAACTTTCATAACTTAGATCAATGAAATCAAATAAAAATGAAAAAAAGTTGCCATAGTGATACAGTCAAGAGGATAGTAGAATGTTTGGTGAAAAATACCTATACAGTAGAAAAGTTTGACAATATGTTATTCACAGCCAAATGTAAACATCAGAAGAATATCTGAGACTGAATAGGGGCTTGTCTGCTGATTAAGTTGTCAACTTTTTAAAAAAACAGACATGTTGAATTTGTATGCTGAATTTTCAGACTTATGGCATTAATTTTGTTATTATAATTTTCTCAAGGTTAACCAGCCAGCTTTTGAACATCTTCATTAGTGAGTTAAACATCAAAAATACCAATTGATGATTTTGAAATTTGTTTTGTTCCAAATTAGCTGAATTTTTGCATGAGGCCTTCAAATAATTTGAAAAACATTGCCCTGGCTTTTTTTTGACTAGTTTGCACGTTGTTGCCACTGCTGGCTTTCAAACAAAATTTTCATTTTGAAGACTTGTAAACTATATTTCAGATGCACCAATTACTGACTGAAGCAATTTTTTATTTTTGCCCCTAATGAACCTGGACCAACCTTTGTGTTGGTTACAAAGTTAACATATGCACTTGCATATTGGAGATCTGTAGAGGCCTTCATCATTTTTGGTTGTTATAAATGGACTAAAATATTTCCACAAGCATGGAGCATTAATAATGGAAGCAAAAATTATGATTTCAGTTAATTTACAAGTCTGCATTTAGCAGGTGGCTCAGTTAACATTGACACTTCAAGGCGGATATTAATTATTTATCAAGTTGCGATTTTTGCATATAACTGGATACATGAATTTATAAATATTACAAGCATTTTGAACTGAAACTGTGTATTTTTGGACTGCTGATAGGATGTAAGACTTTTAAATCAGCCATTATCAGGCTGGTTTAGTTGCCTTGTTAGTGGCTACTATACAAGCCAGGGTGTTTCAGGCAAAAGGTTTTCAACTTTTATGTAAAGATTTTACACAGCTATGGTATGAATGCTTCATTTAACCAGTGCCATAAACACATCTGATATGCGTAAGTACCAAACAAAATTAGAGATCACAAACTGCGAGAGATATCTATTTTTAAATTGTCTTTATTTTTTTTTCTTGCATTGTCTCCTTCCATTACTGACAGAATGTTTACCACTAGTACGCTTTTGTGATTTCAAAACATTTGTCACAGTTATAAGAAAGTTTATGTGCTTCACTGTTGTGTTTGTGGTGAACATCGTTGTCAATGGCAACTTGTCACTTATCTTGCAGAATATGGAATCTTTAGAGCTTTGTATTTCTTCATCATCTAAATGTTAGAACATTAAGTACGGAGTTTGAAGTGCTCAAAACTGTATTGAATGTCTAGAGACAGATAATAGTTTCAGGATAATAAATTGCTATGGTGTTTATTTAAATTGTGTCTTGTTAATTATACATTCAGTTTTTATCTTGACCTAAATCAAGAATAAAATATGTTTCCTTGACTGTGCCTGTAAATCTTGTACACGGCCATGAACATTGGAAACTTTCCAGATTTGAAGGAGGATGTCAATTAATTTCTACTTGTTTTTGTAGTAATATTTCATTTCTAGTGAGAGTCTATGTGTTTATTATTTTGTGTCTGTACTAATCAAGACATGTTTGGTTGGATTTTAAATTTTTAGGTACCCCTGCCAGATTACGAGTGTTAAAAAATGGTGAATCAGATCACAGTAGAGCTGTCACAGTTGTTGGTCCTGACTTGACTAATGTGAGTTGTTTCAATAATTTTACCAACTGTAAGATAGTCATAGGTTGTAGTCTTAAACTTGAAATAAGGGACAGACCATAATTTTGTTTTAGTGGGGGCGGGGAGGGGCAATTACCAAAAAAAAAAAAATTCCTGCACATTGTGCAAGGGGAGCCATCGGAAAAAAATCGAACAAGCGCAGTGCTTTCTACTATCCAGATCCTGTTTTTTGATGCCAAAAACGTCTTGCACAAGCTAAAGGTGAGATAAATTTCATGCCCCAGAAAACTGCCCACCCCTCTCAAAAAAATAATGGTCCAACCCTAAACTTCTTAACGTTATGACATGAAATCTGGCAAATTTAAGAGTAGGGGTCCAACCTAAGGGATTACAAGTGATTCTGCAACAATTTTATCAAGTGTGGCAGCAATGGGATTGATGTATCAAACTTCCGTTATTGAAACTTTCAACTAAATTATTTTTTAACATGGCCATATCTGCTCTCCTCTTTAGATGCTTCATGATGTCAGTGGAACAAGTTCAAACAGCCCTTTTAAGAAAAACAAGAGGTAGACCATCTTGTCTTAAAAATTCCACTTCTGTTGGAAAAGTGATCTTGCTGAATGTCAATGATAGTAATCCAACACTTGGAACTGGCATAATTATTAATGGCTTGCCACACTTCAATCAACAAACTACAATCACTGTCACAAGTTGTTGGAAAACCTACCTCTTTCCTCCATGCAATATTACATGTAGATAACGCAAAGCACCCGAACACTTTGCTCAGTGATTTTTGGTCTTTAAACAACACTGAATCTAAGATTTGAGAGGGAGAACAATTAAAACGTCAATGTACCAACAATGCGTCAGTTATTCGTTGTAAGAGCTGGTGAAATGGTCTAATAGTAAGCGCACTGGACTCGCTTGGTTCAAGCCTTGGCCGGAGTTATGGTTTCGTATTACCAACAATATCGCCAACATAGAGTCCCCTCTTTATTCACTATGTGACTGCTTTCTTTCAGGCGATCTACTGTTGACAAACACGAGCAATCTGGCGAGGACCTAGCTGGCTCCTGTCATCCTCTTAATCACAAAAGACTTGAGTTGGATCTGGTATGTCTTGGAAATCAAACGTTTATTCCTAAAGTTTGTTGGCTTTTATTCTAATTTGCAACTTTTCTTGCTCTGGACACAGTTCCTGGATAGGTGCACTGAAGCTGTTGGTTTGCCATTTGCGGCAAGAAGACTGTACACTGCAGATGGTAAAGAAGTCAGCAGTCTATCAGATCTCCAGAGAAATGATTTGGTGTACGTGACGTGTGGCGAGTCCTGGAGTGACCCGCAGCTGTCCTACTCTGAGCAACAAAGGAGGGCGGTGCTAGCTAATCTTGCAGCAGACATTTCACACATTAGGCAATTCTGTGCCTTGAGAGATCCATCAGGTAATGTTAAACTGTTAGAATCTCCGTCATAGGAAGCACAGTAACTAGGGAGTTTAAGAAAACCGCAACGGCAACGCCGCTAAAGAAAAGGTTTAATGAGCAGGACAATGGCTTTGCACGTGCGTTATAATTCTTGGCACATTACTGTGCCGTCCTCTGCAAAACAGCAACGTGAAATGACCTAATTCAGCGTTGTCTGGAGAACGTGAACCACGACAGATAATTAAAGGGGCCATGTCAGAATGTTACTTCTAAAACGAAACAAAGCTCAAAATAGTAGCATTCTAATGCATAATAACACCAAAGAATTGTTAATAAACTGAAAATGAACAAAAATTGTCGCACCTGCGGATGATAACGGCGGATTGTGACCGCAAACTTTTTCAAGATATTATTGTCTCGGAAAGTTCCTTTCTTCACCCAGTTGCTATTTGTTCAAAGACTGAGTGGATAATGCTCTCTTGTAGATCAATCACTAGCCAGTGTATCATACAGTTTTGTGTACTCTTATGCAAAAGTTCAAGTTCTATTGACTTCGAATGTCTTGTATCTATAATACCGTGATGCCATCCTTCCATTCTTCATTCAATGTTTATTTGTCTCCGGTAGACTTAGTTCTTCAAGTTGAGGGAGCTGTTACCAATGGCTCTCGTTTGTGTGTAGCACAATGTGCATTGAGTTCTGAGGAACGAGAAAAACTAGCAGCTGGTAATAATCAAGATGAATCACGTATAGAGAATGAGGAGAGGTACTTCAAGCTTTGATAACGTTTGTTCAAGGGTCTTACACGTACATGTATTTTGCAGTATTGAGTGAGAACTATTAAAGTTAGTCAGTGATTGGGCCTCAAATTAACCCGCGCGGAATTTTCCTGTTTCATATTCTGATACAACGAGAAAAACGAGACCTTTGAATGCAGACTACTTCAAACTGATAGAAGCAACGCGGCATCAAAGAAGGAGAACAAACGGGTGCTTACCATTTAGCGAAAAAATTCGGAAATTTCGGTTGAAAGTCACAGGTAGTCCTCTTTTTCCGTTTTGAACGTAAGGGCGGAAATTCTCATACCATTTGCTAACTTGTGAGTTTCAACCGAAAACAATTACGAAAATTCGAATTGCAAATGGTAAGCGCCATCTCGTTCGATTGGTTTGCCGATTTTGGAAAAACCCTTACCATTATTTAACGGTCATCGCAACTGGTTCATTCTGACAAATGGTAAGCACGCAATATTTTTGTTTGCCGTAATGGGCTTTAAGAAGAAACTCAAAAGTACTTTGTGATCTGGGTTTCAAGACACAACATCCACAACCAAAGAGCCCCCTTTGATACGGGCTAACACAGGCAGCTGTGATCAGTAAACAAAAGCATCAAGTAGAATGCATTGTTTTGATCTACCACCAAATTTTCAGAACTAAACACACAAAGAAATGTATGAACATAATTAAAGAGAATTGATGTTTCAAACTTAAAGCATGTCTGCTATTTCTTTGTAGTCCAGAGGATATTTACAGCCATGCTTTAAATGCTCACGAGCGATCTCATATTCGGGCTGAGCAGCGTCTGAAGACCTTGCAGTGGCCTTGGGAAAATGAGAAGACCCACAAGGACGATCCTTCAGTGGATGATAAAGAAGATAACGACTTTGATGATGAAGTCATGTTCTCTGATCGACAACTGCAAAGGAAATTCAGGTAACTGGTCTTTTCGTTTTCATGTATGGATGTGACTGTTTTATTTGAATTATTGGTTTGTTTCTCCGAAGCGCTTCATCTACAGGTACAAATCTCTCACCGCTCACACTATTAAGCTTCAATATTTTTCATGGCTTAGATAGTTTTGATAATTTAGCTGCGTTCGTAGTGCGCGTTTATGACAGAAAATGTATAGGTAAAATAAAATACAACCAGACGTAAGCCTCCAATAAAGCGAAACAGATAACTCTGTCATCTTTTAATCACTTATTTTAACTCTAGAGATGTTTTTAAGCTTAAAGAAGAAGATGTCGACTGCGTAACAAACGTAGACCCAAATAATCTTACAATCGCCGGCTCAGTTCCCGTTATGTTTTCGTTTGGTAAATTCAAACTAAGTTGCTTTGAGCAGACGGCCATCTTTAACCAGCAACAGTTGCCAGGCATACTAGACATTTTTCAGCTACTGTCGACGACCCTGTAAGTCAGCAGTTTGATAATAGCAGAGAGCCGAACAATTAGACAAGATGACATTTTGATTTGTAAAGGTAGACCTGGTTCACACTCGCGACGTGACGACATAAACCACATAATCGGAAAAGATCATTTTTTTTGCTCATGTCGGCATGATGTTGGTATGTTCATGCTCTTATGCTGCTATTATGTCATTATGCCAGCATGTTCACACTTCAATCACAAAGACGCAATGTCCTTCATATATCGTTATGTTTATGCCGTTATGTCGCTAGTGTTGAACTAGACCTCCTGTTTTGTCAGGATTGTTTGAATACAATATGCACAATTCTTCATAGACGCCAGGTTCTCAAGACCCAAGATGCTAAGCCAGCTGATCCATGTCAGAAGCAGAAGTGGTCTCTGAATAACGACGGCTTCATCAGCTTGAGAGGCACGTCTCTGGTGCTAGGACTCAATGACGCTTCTAATGAGGTATACTCCACAGTGATCAGCATCTTATTTCTCCTTACTTTGTCCATACATTGACAAGCAGATTGGTGCTGAGAATAAAGGAAGTAATCAATTAGGAGACACTCACACTCATCCTCATCGGGCCCATGAGGACTCTTGAGGCCGGAATTACGAGACATTTCCCTGATATGCCCAGCCACCAGATTTATAGAACTAACATAGAGCTTGAGAGTGAAACAGCGAAAGGAGATAGAAAGAGAAAGAAAGGAGATTCACTAGCTTAGAGATCTCGCTGACTCGTGTGAAAAAAAAGTTTTTAAGCCGACATAGCTTGGCTGCTAAGTTACTGAAATGTTACATTAACTATCTCTGAAGGAAAAAGAACTGGTACACGATGAAGCTGTTGCTAAATCTTTTCTTGTTGTGTGTTTGTGAAGGGAAAAGCTGAAGTTGTGCTTTGTAAGAAGAAGCTGGAGGATTTTAGTCAAAGATGGGTCATTGCTGAAGATGGGTAAGTTTTTTTAGCTAGTGTGGACGTAAAGAAAATTGTTCTTTGTAAACTCTGAAGACGCCAATCTGTTCTTTGCTTCAGAAAAGTATTTAATTTTGTAGATGGTAAACTAATCTTCTCTTAACAACTACAGTGGGGCCGCCGCCCACCCCGTCTGGAACCACTTTGTTGTGACGATGCACTTCTCTTGACAAAAGCTCGTTCAATTTCGTATCATAGATTTCACATAAAGCTAACAGACGTTTTTTTTTTGTGGATTATTTTAGTTTCATATACCAGCGCTCAAACCAGCAGCTTGTACTAACAGTCACCACCCCTCCCCTGGGGAATGATCCATTCTCCCTGGACTACACCCCAGCGCAGGGCTTTGAAGGCGCAGCGGTGATTGTGGCTCACCGTAAGGCTTGTGCAAATGGTAACTCCAGTCAGTTGTGGAGATATGATCCCATCACTTGCTTTATTGAGGCTTTCTCTGCAGACACCACTAACAGAGGTATGACTTTTTTACTTCGCAGGGGTTAACCAATGTCTTGATGTATGAAGTTTTATGCCGCTTGCAAACTTGAAACTACGCCGGAGAAATTTGAAAACGCAGCTTTACTTCTACAGTTAGGCCTACCATCCACTCTAATCTGTCACGAAAACGGAACTTTCCGAAAACACTCTTCAAAACGGAGGAATTTGAAAACGCCGGCTTTGCGTTTTAGTGTGGACGGAAAACATTCTGAAAACGGGGCTTTTCGAAAACGTTGATGTTACGATAATCATATGATTTCCCAGCCTGAGTTTCCCTCAAACACAAATCCAAAATGACCGGTGATTGTTGCGTTTTTAAATTTCTCCGGCGTAGTGTGGACGGAGCCTAACTCAAAAGAAATACCTTAAAATATTTTTGTATGAGAAAAGCTAAAAACTGAAGGTGATGTTATGTTTGCAGAAATTACTGCTGCCAACAAGTCTAACGTGTGTACATTTGCTGTGCTGGGACCCCAACAAGTTCCTCAACCAGTAAGTAAATAGCATATCAAAAGCAAACGTCAACAAGCAGGTAATGCTGACATTAAACATTGTCGTCTATTTTATCATGATTCTGGGAGCTCGAGAAATTCCCGGCGCTAGATTCCAAGTTTTGGTCTTGTAGACCTGTAGACCGACAACTAATCACAGAAATCATTAGGAGAAGGGGATGATTAACTTGTGGCAAACATTAAAATCCTGAGAACGGGTTTTTTTAGTTGTAGCTTGGATTGCTGTAAAAACTCTTGTTATTTTGTACTTTGAGTTCATTAACAATTTATTCCACTCTTGAAGAATTTTCCCGCGTAGATACTTGTATAAAATGTAGCTATTGTCATTTGAACTTATTAATTTCATAACGTACAATGTAAAATGGGAATAATCTAGTTTACTTTTATCTTCAGGGTTATGTCTACATGGCTGGTACATCTAAAGAGACTTACCTGTGTGAAGCTTGTGGAAAATCATCCCGAGGAAGACATAAACTACAGCGACTTCATCAGTATCATACAGGCTTTGCTTGTGCTTTAGGAACAGGTATATAATCACTTCTATTAAGTAAGATCTCCACTAAGTATCATGTACATACGATATACTCTACTGTGAAAAAGGATGTCTACCAATCGAGGAGACTAAAACCTTTCAGAACTTGTAGTACAAGATATAAGGTTTTTCTCTCTAACCCTCGCTATTCATGACACGGATTAAATTTAGTTGTTTTTTTCTGCCTGATTGGGTATGGCTAATCAAATTGCACCATTGCAGAGCTTAACAAGTCGGAAATTCATTGCAAACACCTTGCGTTAGGAACACCATTAAGTGTTAGGTCACTCTGCATGTTTACTGACAAAATGTGCAGCATTAGGTAACTATTTGTGAACTACTTTCCAGCTCAAGAGCAAGGCCTGAGGCTGAGTAGTTCTTTCAAGTGCCTGAACAGCAAGGTACGTCACAGACATCCCAGCCTGTAAACTCCTGTGAATTAACGCGAAATATTTGTTACACGCACTGACATCTACTGGATGTTTCAAATTTGTGAAATTATTTACCTGGAGCCACAACTAAAGACATTTTCTGAAAAGTTGAGCTTCTTATTTCAAATAGACTGTTGCTATCCACCAGCTTTATAATTTGCCTGTTATTGGGCTTTTTCAGTATTTGTTGCAACATTTAGGTTTTTATTACCAACGCTTGTGCGTAAATGTTTCAAACTCTTACAAAATTTTAAGCAACGAAAACCGGAGGTGGAACTGACTTTTTTTGCCATTGACCGCTGTGTTGCTCATTTGTCGTATCACAGGTGGATTTGTCAACGCTTGAAGCTGAAGCCACGTTAGACTTGTGGGAACATCAGCTGGAGAGGCTGAGAAATGAAGGCAGTGTACGGACCATCACTCGTGAACTGCACATGGCTCAGAGTGTCCCTGCTGTCAGAATAAGGGCCTTTAAGAACGGAGAAGGCAGCAGAGGTCATGGAGAGATCATTATTGGCTCCAGCATTCATGCGGTATGTATTGGGTTGGATCATCTATCGGCAACAGTTGTACTCTGACATAATAAATAAAAAGTATTATGTACGAAAGACGCTTTTATGAACGGAGGTAGAAACATAAATTAAATGAACTTATCTTAGAAATATCTTGAAAGCGTTCAAGGACAACCAATTGAAAAACAAAATGTATGAGGGAGTTGTGCTTTCTCCTATCGAGGCATGTAACAGAATTCCTATTTCACTGTTGTTACACTTTCCAAAAGTGTATATTTTACTTATACTTTTAATCTTGTTTCTTAGTTGCTTGATCAGTGCACAGTAAGGCTTGGACTAGCGTCAGCCGCCCGGCGTCTGTACACACTCCGTGGAGAGTTAATCACTGATGTACAACAGCTTGTTAGACCGTATGTTACAACCGCAGAGCCGAAAAATAACATGGAGACGCAACAAAATGAGGTCAACTCTGATAGCGGCCCTGACCAGGTTAGCGCTATCGTCCCCCTCTTGTATTTAAACAGTTATTTGTTAAAGTTTATTCTTCAAATTGAGCACATCCTGTCTTTTATCATGCGACGGCTATTAAATAAAGTAACCTTCATGAATTTATTGGTGCAGTGGATCCAACCCCCCCCCCCCCGCCCTTTTACGGTCAGTTTGACTGGTTCCCCCTGTATCCACAGAGTTGGAATGTGTCATTAAGGAAGATTTTCATTGCTATTGTGTTGGTCCAAACGCAAATTGTGTATCCACTGAAAATGATTTTGTTGTTAGGGAAGGCTCGCTGTGCATTTCATTTATGCTCAGTTAATTTGTCACGAACAAATGTTGGTTGATCCAAAGGCAAATGTTATACCATTTGACAACCATTGTGTGTGTTTTGTTTAACGACTAGGCCTCAACAGAATAACCAGGGTTGCTACCCGAGTCAATTCAGTTTTCTTGCGGCAGAAAAATTTTTTTTTTCAAAGTTTTGTTTTTCTTTAGATCCCCGAAGAACGAGTTGTGCGTAATGGTCATGCAGTCGACGTCGTTGAAGCAGAAAACCGGCCATTTTCCAGATCCAAAGGTTCAACGTCGAGTGCAGCAGAACAACGAGAAATGGAGCTGCTAGAAACCGAGGCATTTAACGAGTTGAACACCTCAGACGATGATCAGTCTTCTGGGAATGTCACGTATCGTGTGAGTGACGGACGGACTGGCTCCGTGCCTGTCATAAGCAATAAGGAGCTGCAGGGTCTCCCCAGGTGGGACGCTCGCTGGCCTATCGATGTTTGGGTGTCCTGTGGTGAACCGTTTGTTCCTCTGGAAGGTAGGTCTTAACCTGTGTTGCTGTATCCTTTGTAAACCGCAAGACAGACGTTCAACAGTCGGTCAGAAACATTCCATGCTGATGACGTAGATCTAAAGAAATCCTTGCTGCGTCTGTGATTGGTTGATGCTTGGTATTAAATGTTCCCTTGAGACTTTGCCGCTTGCGTGAAACACAACATTCGTTTGCAACAATCGCATGCAACACTCGCGCGCAACACTCGCGTGCAACAGTAGCGTGTAACAGTCGCGTGTAACACTCGCGCGCAAAATCCTGTTAGCCTCGCAAACGGAGTAGTCCAAGACACTTCAATGTGATGAATTGGAAATAATAAGGAACAGCGACATTGAGCATCCCCTTAAACAGCTGCTAGTTGCTATGCATACAGTAAGCAATAAATGACGGGCTATTAGGGAAACAGTTAGTTTTTTTCCTTCGTCTCTAGATGTTCGCCTAAGAAAGATACGACAGAAGGAAATTTTGGGATCGTCATTAAATGTTTTGTCCTTAAGTTTCTGTTATTCCAATATAAGTTGTACTGCTATCGTTTTTGATAATTTTTGATTGGTGTAGAGGCTGATAAACAGTACCTGTTATCCATGAAGCACAGAGAGGAGAGAACCTGGGTACAAGCATATCTTGACCAGGAAAAACACGTGCTGAGGCACATGCAAGGTAAATGATCTTGCGGAGTTGTATTTCGATTGACTCCACCATGAAAATGTTGCGGAAATTCCATTGCTATTTTTTCTCCTATTGTGCCGTTTCCTTCAGTTTGAATGATTTTTAACATGTCTCTCAGGAATAGCCTGTGAGAGCGTCCGGTTGTTTCGGCTCTTGTCTCACGCAAAACAAGAGCCGAAAACTGGGTGCTCTCGCAGGCTATCCAGGAAGCGTATTGCTTTATTTTGACGTGGTTTGGCTAAAACGTGTTGCAGAGGTTCATACTATATGTAACCGTCACGGTCTCTCCTTGTACTCTGTTGCCACACCGACTTTATTAACTCTTTATTCTTATTTGGTAGGACGTCGAATCAATGGAAGGAGTCCTCCGTCCTCCCCTAGGGGGGTGGGGTTGACAACTGCATGGCATGAACCTACCAGGGCTGAGGAGAAGAAGGAAGAGGCCATTAATGAACTTAAGGTACAATACTTTCATGCTAAACCCTTCTCCCCTGACCTCACTACATTCAAGTGCATTCCATTTTGATCAATGTGAAGAAGTTTCCTTCTCATGTTCTCTATGTTCGAAAAATTGAATCTTCGTTTCAATTGACTCCTCTTTCTCTGATAACTCTTCTCTTTAAACACACGTTACATCATCGGAACACAATGGTTACGGTTGCGTTACCTTTTTTAAGAAAACTCGTTGCGATTCAGGAAAACCTTGAAGTTAGTAAATCAGTTTTCATTGGTTTTATTTTAATCTCCAGAGTCATCTCCAGGGAGTAAAATCACAGCAAAATCAAGGTGAAGCCGCGTTATGCAAAACTGCGAAGGAATCCACACAGCGACTTTACCTAAAGCCAAAAACGGTACGCTTACACAATTTGGTAGCACTATCTTGAGTAAATCGTTGTTATCGTTGAAAATAAACGCCTTTCTACATTAGTAATTCTCTTGTATTGCCCCTCGTTTGTACAAACTACACGTGATCTGACGCTCACTTCGCAAAATCCGGGTCCAGTTTCTTTAATCAACCATCGGAGGGCGTTTATTTACTTAAAGCAACCTGTTAACCATTACTCACTAATTTGGGTGTCAACGAGTTCGAATTGGAGTTATAATCCCTTAAAGCTTTTAAAATAACTTGGTGGCTAAGGATAGATCATTGGTGTGATACCTACAACTACAGTTTATGCTCCACAAGATTTAAAATTTGCTAACGTTTATTCTCTGATGCGTAACATGGAATTCTAAGGTGCCACAACTCATATTTTATTTGAACAAAACTACAGGTTAGAGTGAAGGCGGTTCCGAATGGCGAAACTAAAGAACGAGCTGTAGTTGTGTTTGGAGCATCTATGGAAGAGGTTTGTAATATACTACCTTACTTCAGATTTTGTTTAGCGTCTTCTTTAATAGTCAAAGTGACTGGATGTTTTGTTTTAATCTTTAGTTATTGAATGCGTGCACCGCTCGTTTGGACCTGAGTAGCGCTGCTAGAAGACTCTTTCAACTGGATGGATATGAGGTTTGCACATGAGTTTGTCTCTTTTCTTTCTTTCTTTCTTTACAAAAAAAACTTAGCCCTCTTTGGCTTGAACGAAGGACTTACACTCTAAATTTCCATGAACGCATGCGGTGTAGAAATATCATTGTTTTATTTATTGTTCAACTACTTAGATTTATAATGGCTTCGCTGCCTTTTCCTTGCCTTCTCTTTCTTTCCCTTTACTTATCTTAGAAAGTTAATCTTCCTTTTTCAAATAAGTTGGTGTAGACCACCTTCTTCATTTGTTTCGTAAATTTGACTGTATTTCCAGATAACACATTTTGGTGACATAAAAAGAGATCAGTATGTTTGCGTGAGCTGTGGTGAAGGATTCCTACGAGCAAGAGGTGAGACTGATGTCTAACAGTGGTGAACCAGTTGGTTTCTCGTTCCGAAAATAACCCTAATCGCTAGTTATCACAGATCTAAATATTGCGCTCACGAACAACAAATAAATCCTTGAACTTGAGTTAAACATAACCGGTGCCGAGTGCGGGAAAACCTGTAACCGGTGCTAAACGCCGGAAACGAACGTGTAGCCGGACATAAGCGCGGGAAAACTTGCAGTGAGCGTCAAGCGCGGGAAAAGTGGCACACGTGAAATCGCGATTATTTTTTCCTTTGCACCTTTGCACCTGCACATCTTAACGCTGATTGGCTTGAATACGTTGCGCGGTCTTATGAACAGTTTTTTCACGTTAGATCGTCAGCATCGTCAGGAACTGAAGGCCACGTGGTCTCGTTTGAACAGACAGTCTGGTGGTACAGTAATACCTGGCGGGGGACCGGTGACGAGGAACAGCGTGAGTAGATTTTGACAGTTATCCATCATTCAGGAGTGCACAGATTTTTACTGCAGAACGGGAAAAGTTCACCTCTAATCTTCTTTGCGTCCTTTGTTTGGTCGTCACGGATCACAAATAGCCCCTCATTTAAACGTGGCCTAGTTGCGCGAAATATTTTGTATTTATTTCAATAGTTACTATATTTTGTAGCAGAATTTAAAGGCAAGCTAAATACAGAGCAGTGCCAAGCCTTAAGATACTCTTGTACACTCCTGAGAATGGCCTCTTGTTGATGATTACTTTATCCCGCATGCATTTAGTCTAAAAGCAATCATGATCTTTTAATGTAAAACATCGCATTACTGTTCTTCTTAGGTGACGTTTGACAACACAATCCTGGCCCTACCTGCACCAGTCTCTCCTCCACCACCATCACGTGTTCCTCCTTCACCCACAAGACAGATGTCAGTCCACCGAGTGTCCAACCGCCATTAATGATTGATTGACAGATGCCAATTCAGCAACTGTTCGACCTTCATCGATGATTGATTGATAGATGCCAATTCAGCAACTGTTAAACCTTCACTGATGATTGATTGACAGCTGTCAATTCATCGAGTCTATCTGTCTGATGAATCAGTGTTTGACATGTGTCAGTCAGCTTTCAGTTCGTTAATTAAAGACTGTTTAGCATGAGAGCGGGTCCTTTTAAATGTTTAATATATATTTCGAGAAGATATTTATTGTGACAATTTGTATCCGTAGTAGTGAGATGAAAGGACAGCTACAGAAGCTTACACTGTAGGTCCAAGCTAAACGTTTGTATATGGCATCGCCTGATACCGAACAATTGACGAAAAGGTACAATTTCACTTGGAAAAATAATTTTTGGTTGGTATATTTTCCTATGCTCGACAGGAGATTATGATCATAATCTCTTGATTTCAAGGATGATAGAATTGCGTTTTTTTCTTCCTTTTAAGCATTTTTGTGTGAAGTGCTTGAAAAATGTCACATACAACATTTTTACCAATCTTGTCTAAAAGTCTTGTTCTCTTGTTTTAAATTTCATCCTGGCCTGTTCTGTAAATACTATTTGTTCTTGCGAGATTGTAAATCGTATTTCGAAGAATTCAAGTGCATTAAAGATGAGAATTTTAAACTAAAACTATCGACTACTGTCCCTTAAAGAAATGGCTGTGTGCTGCTGAGCAAGCTCAAAATCGTTTGCAAAACACTTTGACTACCGGGCTTCAGCTGCCAACCTAGTACCCACGATCTTCGTTCCCCTTCACTAGCGGTCGGGAAACGAGCGACTCTGGAAAGTTCTGATGGGAAGTCAGAAAGTATCAGACCTCTGGTTGACTTGCTTATGCCTAGCTGACAAACACATGGCCCAGTCGAGTCACTGGTAGACTGCGAGCAGTCTCTTTTGCACGAAAATCGCGGGGAAGAACACAAAGAAGAATGCAAAGCAAGTGAGCGAACTGAGCGGTCGTGAAATTGTTCGCAGCCTCAGAAGTTACTGGTGTCGTACTTCCGCATATTTCCATTGTTTTTATAACCAGTCAAAATCGAGCCTGCAACGGGGCTCTCGAGAGGAATGGAACGAAGACTAGAGGAACTGGATTGATTGACTGTCTGGTTTCAGGTGCACTACGCATACAAGAACAATCAAACGTTAACCTCGATCTCAGCATGACAAGACTGTTTGGACGAAAGTGGATAGAGAATATTTCCAAAAGGAACGAATGCCCTTGTGTTTCTGACTAGTTCTTCATGAACGAATGTAAACAGCAAACAGCGTTTATTTATTGTGTTTACAACCTATTTAGTTAAACCAAGTCTTACTTGACTTTTTTTTATCAATAATTAGCCACGATACTTCCAGTAAAGTAGTATGGTAAATCCAAGTATCGTCTCGTAGAAAGCAAGTTACACAATACCCCGCGTGTCCCATTTCATTTAGCATTGAGGTTTGTTTCCCTTTAGAATACGTTTTGTCTTATACGTTTCAATAACCGTTCTGTGAACCAAGAATCCCTTGAGTGTTCAACAAATACTTTTTATCATGTCAGCGAGTTTGCTGCTGTCGAGCTCATTTATCGTTGTAACTCGTAAGACGCGGTCACTTCTTCCCATGGCGATCTCTTTTAGCTCGTTCGTGCTTACTTCACTTCCAACCCCAACAGCTATGATACTCACTCCGCGATCCTAACATATGAGAACAACAGAGTCACTCAGATACAGTCAGATCAGTTTTGTCAAATTATTTACGTGAATAATTAAAATGCTCAACTAGGAGATACTGTTTTCAAGAACCGCTCAGGGTGTTCTATTTCAAGCTTTCACAAAATAACCACAAACTACTTGCCAAGACTTCAAATTGACGTTTAAAGGTGACTTAAGCTTAACAAAAACGTTGAATCTTTTCAGGCACGGGAACATACCGGTTTTCTTTTCTTTACGTAAATCGGTCAGATTTTTCAGCATGACTCAAACGCAGGAAGGGGCACTTAAGGAGTTAACATCCCAAAAATTTCGCTTGGGAAGCGTGGCCCCGGGCCCTCTAGGAGCTTTCGCCTTCGGCGCTCATTGTTTCGATCCGTGCCTACATTTCAGGGTAAAAATGAACATTTGGGCCACGCGCACAACATCCCTTCTTCTACAGTTTACTAACTTTTTCGCAAATAATTTCGAGGAGCAGTCCAGTATCCCAACGCGTCACGTTTACAACACACTTTACGCCATGGCGATTTGTTTTCAGCCAAAAGCAAATATAGGCATTAAATTTCCGATAATCAGTTCATAACCGGCAACAGTTTTGTGTTGTTTGTTTTGTACTGACCTTGAGAGGTTTCAGAACTTTTTTGTAAGTCTCACTGCCTTGTGCAGTGTCGCCGTCTGTGATTACCACTAGCACATGTGGAACTTGGTCCCTGCACTGACTAGCCGCGTATAAATTTGTTCCCGCCATTTTCAGGGCCTTATCGGTTCTCGTCTCTCCATCCGGGAACTCTAGTCCCAGGATCCTCAGTTTCAGCCGGATCGGGAGGTAGTACATCGCGTCAGAGAATCTGATGATTAACTCTGGAAAGTCACTGTATATAATTACTCCAAAATGTGTTGCATCTGCTCCGACCTTGAACTGGTTGATGAGTTGTAAGAGGAACATCTTGGTTTGTGCGAATCCATAGTTACCAACACTTCCGCTGCCATCAATAATTATACCCAGGTCATATCGGCCAGCAGGGTTGGAACAGTCACCTGGTGAACAGAACACAGATCCATAACACATCATGAGCGTGCGCGCGCTTTCCAATATTTGTACCGTATTGAAAAATTTTACGAGATTAGACAATAGAGTGTTAATGTCTCGGAACTATCGGTCTGATAGTTACCCCTCGGAAATTTGATGTTCTCAAAACAAATATGTTAGTTTTAAGAACATCAAATTTCCGAGGGGCAACTGTCAGACCGATAGTTCCGAGACATTAACACTCTATTGTCTAATCTCATTCCCAGATCTCTTGTTTATTGTCTTTATTGTTCGCCACTAAATTTTCTTCCGCGCTTCAAAAATTCAATTCAAAAATCATATTGAATTATTTTCAACTTTTTGAGATGTTAGCCGTGACAGCCAAATGTAAAATTTGAAGAAGACAACAGACAAAAACTCTCAAGTACAATTTCAATTGTTTATTTTCTACAAGCCCGCTTGTTTAAAGTTTTCACGGACGAGTAAAATCCATTCGGGTATTTTCCGCGGTCGGGCACTACGGGCTGTTAGTGTCTCTCCTCGGACGAACACTATCGCGTCACGTGATAAATTTAAACCAATCAGAATCGGAGAAAATTTAGTAGTGAACTATAACGCGTTTTATTGTAAATCTACGAGCGTTCTACCACGTATACCGTTTGTTGATTGGCCACGCTACACACTATCCATTCTGTTGTAGATAGTGAGTAGTCTAGAGTATGCGGTTGTTATCAAAATACGCAACGGCCGCTTCTTTGCGTTTTCGAAGTGCCTGTGAAGAGGATTTAGATAAAGGTTTGAACGACTAGTAGATTTATACCAAAACAATTAGATTATTTGCTCTCGATTTCTATGCGTTCATCACGTGATAGAAATCTCGAGCTCATAATCTAATTTAATAGAAACACGAGTGGAAGTTTGGGAGTACGAGAAATGCTCTGGTAACACGAGCTGACAAGCGAGTGATTTCACAGCTTTCTCCAGTTTTCCCAAACTTCCACTCGTGTTTCTGTTTAACAATTAAAATCTGAGCTCGAGATTTCTATCGCGCGATAGCTGGCGAGAGCGCAGCTCGAGTCAACTGTCACGCATAGAAATCGCGAGCGAATAATGTAATTGTTTTAGTATAAATCTACCAGTCGTTCAAAACTTTATCTAAATCCTCTTCACAGACACTTCGAAAACGCAATGAAGTGGCCGTCACTTTGTTCACAACCACATATTGCCACACTACTCACTATCTACAACAGAATTGATCGTGAGTAGCGCTGCCAATCAAAGAACGGCATTCGTAATAGAACGCTAGTAGACTTATACTAAAACTCGAAAGGAACATGGAGAAGATTTTTTCTATTTCTTTTGGAATATTCCGCGACGAACAAAGAAAACAACTTGTTTACTTTGATCATGAAAATGTAAATTATCTTAGCTCCATCATTACGTCAACAGCACTCAAGACCGTGTTTGACCAAACACCTCGAAGTTCTCAGAAGTACTCCGCTGCGTGTCGTATTTCCGACTCTCTTCTCGGTGTTTGGAAATGTGGTGAAACTCGCTCTTTCGTGTTTGATATATTTACGTAACAGCCTACCTTTATCGCAATACTTTCCACTGTACCCACTCTTACATTTGCAGTGAAAACTTCCTTGGGTATTGACACATGTAGCGCCATTTTTACACAAAGGCTCCTGGCACTCATTCACATCTGCGGGGACAAAAAAAAAATAAGGACGTTCTTGAGTTTTTGTATCATTACTACAGTTGTGTAACTCCGTTACAGTATCAGAAATAAAAGATTTTGTTAAAATCCATGCCATAGCTGGTTCGAGAATACTCAGTCATCCGACCCTACCGAAAAAAAGCCTTTCATTTTCAAGCTGCTGGTTACAGAGATGCTTTGAGATGGTTTACTGGCAGTTTACTACAATTCGTGACATGAAAAAACACATTGCACACGCTTTGCATCCTTATCTCGCACTTTCTTGTATTAAGCTTCCCGGCTGTTACTGGTTAATTTTAAGTTGGGTTCATTCTGGATAACATGAATGTAACATAAATATAGTACTACTTGGACTATTTAATAATTAACAATTATTCGCTCTCGATTTCTATCGCGTGATAGTTGACTCGGGCTGCGCCCACGTCAACTACCACGCATAGAAATCGAGAGCTAATAATCTAATTATTTTAGAATAAATCTACTAGGCGTTCAAAATGTCATTTGAATCCTCTTCATAGACACTTCGAAAACACAAAGAAGCGGCCGTCATTTTGTTAACAAGGGTACACTAGTGCTACGCTACTCACTGTCTATCACAGAATAGATAGTGGGTGGCGTAGCCAACCAGAGAACGGCATTCGTGATAGAACGCGAGTAGATTTATACTGAATTTTAATATCGTCGAAGACTCGAGAATAGTTTATAATGAGCCATGGTGAGACAGCAAACCGAGAAAAATATTGTCAACTTTCGTCGCGCCAATTTTGCCCGGTTTACTTCATCTTGCCAGGGATTTACTGTTCTTTTATGCTGAGGATATACTATACCTAAATCACAGAACATTCCTGTTATGCCTGCAGGACACAGGCATTTAAATACGCCATACTTGTTCACACAACGAGCTCCATTTTTACAAGGGTTATATGGAAGACACTCATTAACATCTGTAGAAAATCGACAAGTAGATCAGTTTGAATGATCATGATTCAACGTTGAATTCTTGGTCTAAAGGGAGGGATTCACAGTTCGGCGCATGTCTGTATTATTTATTCGCCTGTGCACGCTTTTTGGCACAGGTCCAGTTTTCATTTTGTTTATGAACCAATCGTAAGCAAGGTACCTAATAGCCGTAATTCATCAACCGTAGAATAAATCGTACGGGTCAACACTAAATTCAACGGTCGACAGCGTCGGTAAAATCCACTGAAATCTTCTGAGAATTTTAGTCATCCGTCATTCTGCCATGACTAACTATTGCATGTGATTACTGAACTACATCTGAGTGGGGGTTTTAAAGCGATAACATTGACAAGAAGCGAACAAAAGTGTTTTGATTTAGAGACATGCGCCGAACCGTGAAACCCTCTCTTTAATACTGAAATCACGACAAGCCAGGAAGCTTGGCCGAAAGAACGGCAGAAGCTTTCTAGCTAACCAACAGTAAAGCAAGGTAGCGAAAATGTTACGTTGACGTCAAAATGAGAAAGAGTGTCAAAGTCACTGAACTTACTTAACTCAAGTGCAAATTGCTCTCTCTAAATGTTTATGTTGCGAGTGAAAATTGATTACCGCTTTTGTCAGATATTGAAGACAGTGACTGTATTTTCACTTCACTAAGCTGAATCCTAAACTATTTTTCCAGCCATAGTATTAGAAATATTATTTGAAATATGCTCCCGAGAATATGCTCCAGCATTTTTTCTGCGTAAGTTCTTGCTTTCCTTCGGTCGCAGAAACGCGGTGAGAAAAGTGAGATTTCGAACGTTAGCTCCTCTGTGAGCAAATGATGTGCGGAAATATTTTTTAAAATGTTTCGACTCTTGCTAAGCCCTCGTGGAAGAGAAGAAGATGATAGTGTTAAAACTGCCCATTGTTTTCAGTGTTTATCAGTTCTTTCCTTGCTCTTAAAGTTTAAGAGTGCTGTTTAAAGTTATGTGATCAGGTTACCTTGTTCACAAAGTTTCCCTTCGAATCCTGGACGACACAGGCAGTGAAAGCTGCCCATCTTGTTCACACACGTGCCTCCATTGCGACATGGACTCTTTTGACACTCGTTAACATCTGCAGCAAAAAAGAAAACGAGCATTCTCCGTCTGTCTTTCAGATTTCTGACAAGACGTTGAAAAGTGTTATGTCTTTTATTGTTTAGCGCAACGCTCTTACTAACCGCCTTCACCTACCGGTTCCCTAAGTGTACACTCCCACTCCCCTAAAACATACAATCGCGCGCTGCATGGTGCTTTTCGGAATGTGTGGTTTACCTCAAGCGGACTCTTCTAAACGAATCCAGACACTTTTCTCCAGTTCCGTTTTGGTACGTTCACTATAAAATGGCCCTCCCCTTAGCAGGTGTAATCAAATCAAAATATACCATAGAATGGCAAAATATAAGCCTAAATCTTAACCCAGTTAGCGCTCAAATCAATTTTTGTGAAATTCTAAGAAATGATAAATGGATGACATGAATGTGGCATGCATTCTAGTGATTAACCACTGATTAGACCCATCCTCTGAGACCTAATTGCATTGAAGAAATCAGCGTGAGAAACTGGAAAAATACCGGCTTTGGTCTCGCCAGCAGATTAAATGCTCTTGTGTCTCAGAGAATGTACTATACCTTGATCACACAGCATTCCCGTGAAGCCTGCAGGACACAAGCATTTAAATCCGCCATGTCTGTTCACGCAACGAGCTCCGTTTTTACACGGGCTATATGGAAAACACTCATTAACATCTGCCGGTGAGAGAAGTCGATTAATGCTTTAGTGAGGCTAGAGCAAATTAGAAGGGGTGAAGTCTTGTCAGAGCACATGGTCAAAGACAGATCTTTTGCTCATTTTGAACATGCTTCTACTTTTTTAGAAATTAAAATGTGCTTAAAGCCCGTGGAGATTTAAACCAGAAAAATGAAAAGCTTGTGAACGATATTATGCCAAGAGAGTTAAAACTCTTGACGTTTTGTTAAAATGGTTTCCTAGTTTCCCGCGACGTCATCCCGTCCTAGATAAATCGAAGGAATAATCAGTTACCATGGTTACCTTGTTTACAAAGTTTCCCTTGAAATCCTGGGCGACACAGGCAGTGAAAGCTGCCCACATAATTCACACACGTGCCTCCATTTCGACATGGACTCTTCTGACACTCGTTAACATCTGCAGTAAAAAGGAACGAGCATTCTCTATGTGCTTTTCATAGATAAGACATAAAGGGGTTGGGGACCCCTGTCATTAGAGATTATGTTGACTTGCTTGCCTTAATCCCTTAGCGCTGTGGTTAAAGTTCATTTCCCCTAACGGTACACTTCCCCGTGAGCTCGTATCCTGCATATGTAGCTGCATATCGTAAACCAACAAACAAAACTTTCTCGAGTATCGCTTCAGTTATTGAATGTAAGCTTCTCGTTGCCTAGTTCCTAGGCCTCGGTCAAGCGTTTCGGGTCACGTGGTCCCAGGCGAAAAGTGTGACTGCAGGCAGTTGGTCTCGGATACGTCACCGAAATCAATTGACCGTGAAGGTCTGGAAGAAAGCCATACAGGAACAAGGCAAAGAGGCGTTATGATCAGAAGCGACATCCACGTCATACAGAGAAAACCTGATGCTGATCAGGTAAGCAATAGCAATAGCAATAGTTAAGCTTGTTGTACTTGATACGAGAAATAAACTTATAATCTCTTACCGTTTTCACAGCGTTTACCACTGAAGCCTTTAACACATTTACAGATGAAGCCATTTCCTTTTTTCCTGCAGGTTCCTCCATGTTGACAAGGGTTGCTCTGACATGGATCTAAGGCTGAGCATGAATGTCAGTGTAATAATAATGCTAGGCTAAAAGCTCGCTCACATGAAATGGATAACCATAGATCTAGATATCCCGTGCCGAACAGCGTCACAAAACAACAAAACAGAACTCAGCAAAACACAACAAAACAAAACACAACACGACAAAACAAAACTCAACACAACGAAACACAATACGCAAAACGCAACTTAGCTGAACTGAGTTAGCACAACAACCTGTAACGCTTGTAGTGTTAGCTAGATAGGCAAATACAAGACAGAACTGAACGCAACAACAACAACACGTTTAATCGAGCAACATGACTGCGAGCGCATGGCATGTCGTAAGGGTCACAACACTAATTAACTAAGTATCGGAAAGATTACCTTGGTCACAGTGTTTTCCAGTGTATCCTGGCTTACATTTGCACTCGTAGTTACCCAATGTGTTTGTACACGTCCCTCCGTTCTTACAAGGTTTGGACTCACACTCGTTTACATCTCGAAAAACAAATAATAAAACAAATTTAAAATCAGGTAACAACGCAAAGTAAAATGCCGTTAAATTGATGGTAAACTGTAAGATTTGTAACAGTCATGAATTATTAGAAATGGCTCTTGAAAGTGAAGTAAATTTTCATAACATTATTTGACATCATGATGGTTGGTTGACTTACCTTGGTCGCAGTGTTTCCCAGTGTATCCCGGCTTACATTTGCACTCGTAGTTACCCACTGTGTTTATACACGTCCCTCCGTTCTTACAAGGCTTGGACTCACACTCGTTTACATCTTAAAATATAAAATACACTAGAGTTGAAATCAAGCAAGAACGTACCGAGTTAAACAACCTCTAAACACTGTTCTAACACTGGTTTTCCCATGGTCACTGAATCTAACATACTACCAATTAGGCCAACCCGCCTTTCGCCAATAGTACTAGCGTCAAAACTGGCTCGCAGTCAATCCAATCCTATTTCTGTGAAGCTTCGTTAGAACTAAAGAGAAAAATGCCGTCATGTAAAACTGCAAGAGTTTTATCAGTCCTGGATGATTAGAAATGGCCCCTGACAGTGAAATGGCCCCTGACAGTGGCCCCTGACAGTGGCCCCTGAAATGGCCCCTGACATTTTCATAATTAAGATCATTTGATATAATTATGATTGTTGGTCAGCTTACCTTGGTTGCAGTGTTTCCCAATGTATCCCTGCTTACATTTGCACTCATAGTTACCCACTGTGTTTATACACGTCCCTCCGTTTTTACAAGGTTTGGAATCACACTCGTTTACATCTCAAAGAATAAAATACACCAGGGGTTAAAAACAAGTTTGAACGCGATTTAAGTCAGCCTATAAATGTTGGTCAGATCCCGAGGATAACTGTACATTCTAGTAGGCTAGAGACCTTTTTAGTAGTTGGGTCGCAATACTCGATATGGTGAAAATGGTTGGAATGCACTCAAACATGCGCTGCTGCACTGAAGATATTCCATAAGCCGTTACAAATCGTATTTTCAAGGATGTTAGCTTTCTAGCTACCTGGTAATAACAGGAATTAACTTTCTTACCTTTTTCACATTGTGTACCAGTGAATCCTGTAACACATTTGCATTTGAAGCCATCGCCTTCTCTCTCACAGCTTCCTCCGTGTTGGCAAGGGCTACTGAGACATGGATCTACAACTGCGCATGAAAAGATACACGTAGAATTAATCAAGTGACAGTTAGAACCTGCTAGCAGTAAAGGAAGGCAAAATCATGTTAAAAATCCTAGGGTGTTACAGGCCCGATTACTCATGACACTTCACCACTGTTTAACCGCGATTCTTCCGCAACATGCGATGAATAGGAGCAGTGCTCTCGCTCCCCCTGTATGTAATGTTGGTCCATAACTCGTTACAGCCTAGAAATTTGTGAGGTTGCTGTAACGATTTCTATGTAGGTATATGAATTATTCATTTATACGTTATTCTAGTTGGAGCTAGCCAGTCCCATTTTACGATAATTCAACAAAACGATTCCGGCCTCGAACAGTCAAACCTCTTAACCCAGGGTACAGTCCGCCACTCAGATCAAATCTCCCTCTGTACCATTGATTCATAAGACAATCAGTTCCACGTTCCAAAGGTTCGTGAAAACATACTTAAAAATTTCAGGGTAAACTAAAGAAAAACTCACAAAACACAAATGACACTATTCGTTTCAGGCTACACATTGAAATATGTAATTACAATCTGTTGACATAGTGACTGGTCGACTTACCTTGGTCACAGTGCTTCCCAGTGTATCCCGGCTTACATTTGCACTCATAGTTACCCACTGTGTTTATACACGTCCCTCCGTTCTTACAAGGTTTGGACTCACACTCGTTTACATCTCAAATAATAAAATACACCAAAATTAAAATCAATTCTGAACGCGCTTCAAGTCAGTCTAGAAATGCTGGTCAGATCCCGATGTCAACTGTACACTGTTATTCGTTCTCTGGAGGCCTTTCTAATCGGTTGGGTCGCTACGACGCGCCCGCGACACTCAACTAAATATGGTGAAAATGGTTGGAACGCACTCAAGCATGCCCTGCTAATCTGAAGATATTTCTTACATCATTGCTACACAATGAAACATAGTTGCAATCAGTTGTTGTAATGACTGGTGGACTTACCTTGGTCACAATGTTTCCCAGTGTATTCCGGCTTACATTTGCACTCATAGTTACCCACTGTGTTTATACACGTCCCTCCGTTCTTACAAGGTGTAGAGTCACACTCGTTTACATCTCAAAGAGTAAAAAACACCAGAGTTAAAATCAAGTAAGAACACACAGGGTTAAAACAACCTCTAAACACTGGTTTACTAGCTTAAGATAACATGGCGACTGTGACTGAATCTAGCATATATTACCAATTGGGCCAACCCGCCTTTCGCCGATAGAACTAGCGTCAAAACTGCTTACAAACAAACTGTACCCCGTACTGTAAAGCTTCCGAAGGGCTTAGATAGAAATTCCGTTACATTCATGGTAAACTTAAGATTTCTTACAGTCGTAGATAATTTTAAAAAAATGGCACTTGAGAGTGAAGTACATTTTCATATGAGTATTTGATATCATTATAACTGGTGTGCTTATCTTGGTCACAGTGTTTCCCAGTGTATTGTGGCTTACATTTGCACTCATAGTTACCCACTGTGTTTATACACGTCCCTCCGTTCTTACAAGGTGTAGAGTTACATTCGTTTACATCTCAAAATATAAAATAATCCAGAGTTAAAATCAACTCGCGCGATTTAAAATCAGGCAACAAAAACAGAACAAAACATAACATAGCACAACAGCCCATGGAAGGAATTAAACTAAGTTTAAAAGGGTAATGAGTATTGAGAAGGTTACCTTGGTTGCAGTGTTTCCCAGTGTATCCCGGCTTACATTTGCACTCATAGTTACCCACTGTGTTTATACACGTCCCTCCGTTCTTACAAGGTGTAGAGTTACACTCGTTTACATCTCAAAATATAAAATAATCCAGAGTTAAAATCAATTTTGAGCGCGATTTAAAATTAGGCAACAAAAACAGAACAAAACATAACATAGTACAACGGCCCGTAAAACGAATTAAACTAAGTTTAAAGGCGTAATGAGTATTGAGAAGATTACCTTGGTTGCAGTGTTTTCCAGTGTATCCTGGCTTACATTTGCACTGATAGTTACCCACTGTGTTTATACACGTCCCTCCGTTCTTACAAGGTTTGGACTCACACTCGTTTACATCTCGAAAATATTAACAATTGAACACATGAATTCAAAATTAGGCAACAACGCAAACTAAAATGCTGTTAAATTCAGGGTAAACTGCAAGATTTCTAAGAGGCATCAATTATTAGAAATGGCTCTTGAAAGTAAAGTACATTTTCATAACACTATTTGATATCATTATGCTTGGTTGACTTACCTTGGTCACAGTGTTTTCCAGTGTATTCCGGCTTACATTTGCACTCATAGTTACCCACTGTGTTTATACACGTCCCTCCGTTCTTACAAGGTTTGGACTCACACTCGTTTACATCTTAAAATATA